AATATTGAGTAATTTATTTGTGTATTTGGTTGATCGCTGGTATTTTAATTACCTAATCATACAAAATTACTCATCTCTACTATGGAACGTCTATGGTGGCCACGATAATTCTTGTTTCCTCGTCTTTTAATCGATGCTGGTCCCATCAGCCAATATTCATTAAACTTCTCATCTGGATCGCATCAACGATACCATCTATCCCATGTAACTAATCTTTCGTTTATTATACGACCTGTGTGCACACGATAGCCGATGATCTTATGGAAGAACTCAGAAGCTAGAGTGGTAGACCCGTTTATAGGTTCTTCGGATACTATCAGATAATTGATATTAAAATTAACACGGCTTCGCACGGTGTAATTATAATTTTTTTTAATAGACGTTTTATTTGTGTATCCATATGATTAATTGTAACTATTGTAATAATTCTAACCCCAATTTTTTAGTTTTTCTGCAAATAAAAACAATGAATTGGGAATTTGATTCGGTGCATAATAGATTTAGTATTAATTCCGATTTACCAATCATTATTTAAAAAGCTTGCTATCAACTTGACACGTACATCTCTAAAAGTGCACCTGGAGCAGTCAGATGTCTTCGCGGCTAATTGCGTAAGTACGCAACCATCCTCGACAGTATAAAGCTGAGAAGCATGTGCTGAAAGAATTTTACTGTTTCAACCCTCGGATGCTTGGCATTCTTATTATCAAACGGCCGTAAACGACGAGCGGTTGTCAAAGTACATCGCGCGAGGGCAACGACGATAAGCATAATTTACAACGATATTACGACACCCTCTCGGATCCTCTCACCGCGAGCGTCCTCCTCCGCCGCTAACATATTTACTCTTATTTCACGTCATAACTCATCGCCGGTTTGCTCAAACACGCGCACGGATCAGAGGTCCGTGGGTCTCTTCGTCTTTCTTGCTTCCTCGCAACGTGCAACTCCTTCGTTCCCTGATATTTCATTCCTCCTGCCTCTTCCTGTAACCTTTTCAGCGAGCCAGCGCGTCGGCTAGACCACGTATAAACGCACACTTTTCGCCATAAGTTAACGGGCAATTCTAAACAAGAAGTTCGTTTACCTCACGCGATCCTTAAAAAAATTCTATACGTATTAGCAATCGTACCTGAAAGACTATTATGTGGTTTCTTGATTTTATTGTAGAAACTTAAAGAAAATGGATTTACTGTTTAAGTACCTTTTTCATTATCTTTCTGGTGACTTACAAAGAAGAGTGTACTTAGAGAGTGTACTTAGAGTTATAGAAATGTGATTTATAGCTTCACTAATCTCTTCAGTACGATCCTCTGCAAGCTATAGTGTGCTCAGTATTGACCCGCAGGTCGAGAATTGACTTCTTTTTTAAAGTACTTCTCAGGACAAAAGCGCAATAGAATGATAAATAATCTAGCATTTAATGGATTACATTAGCAAACGCTATTATGTGGTTTCCTCATTTTATTACAACTTGAAGAAAACAGATTTACTGTTCAATTGTCACTATTATCATCTCTCTGGTGACTGTCGATGAAGAGTGTACTATAGGTACACGAAACGGAATTCATATAGAAATATGACCTATAACTTTTAGCGATTAAGCTCTGATCCTTCAGTATTGAACAACAATTCGAGAATCAACTTCTTCTTTAAAATAGTTCTCAGGACAAAAGTGCAATAAAATGATAAATAATCCAGTATCTAATTGGTCATTGAATAATCGTGCAAAATAACTAGCATGAACAATTGAATTAACGAGGATGTAATCCCTATAACAGCTATTTCCATACGGTTTTCGCATGGTTAATGATCAGGCATTACGACTTATGTTAACGCGCGATTAACCTGGGGAAAGTGTAATCCATCAATGGTTTCTCTGAACCATTGGATCGAAATTACCCGTGATCGGTGCATTAGCAATTCAATCGAATCGATTCCACTTCTACATGTGTATCATTTCCTCCCAGTGACAGCTGTTATTTGTTTTACCTGTGAAATAATACCCCCTGAAGCTTGACTTATCAATAGATCGTGGGTATTTATGTAAATTTGTATTCTCATTGCTGATACAGTGGAAGCATTGACGCAGACTACTTATTTAGAAATGGATGAACTTTTGGTCAACAAATTACAGTATTAAATGCAGGAAATGCATCCGAATTTTATACTGAT